AACTCATTCCCTAGCAGTGAAAACCAAGAAATAAAGAGAAGTGCATACCCCACTTACCAAGGCAAAGTCCAAGCTTAAAATAATGACTGATCTATCACCAGTCATGATCACAGGCCTAATTAGTCTTAGCTTAGTCCTACCTCATTCCTGGCTAAACGTTATTGGTCAAAACAAATATTTGACTGGACAAGTCCCAGTCACAGTTGGACATTGTCCGATGTCCAGCCTTTATTTTAAACCCTGAAAGTGTTTGATTTCCCCTGATATACCCCAGAGGGGTGGGAGGACCAGAGGTTTCAAATGAAGGATGGACAAGAAATAAGGTGTAATAATGTTTATATATTAATAAGTGTTTGACAATGTTATTTCCCAGGTTGATCAGTTGGCAGCAAGTTTCCTTGCAATGGGGCTACAGAAAGGGGATCGTGTTGGGATGTGGGGTCCCAATACAAGAGAATGGGTCTTAACACAGTTTGCTACTGGCAAAGCTGGACTTATAATGGTACGTTATTTTACACTAATTAAGATTGTGCTTTACAAATTTATTAATGTAGAGTATGAATAGACTTGAAAGCCATTTTATTGTCATTGCACAGGAGCCAATAGTGTTTATATTTTGTAAATTTTGAATGAATCGTGAGAACAATGGGTAGCCATTTCAGTGTTACTGTATTGCACAGGAGCTGCATACTCTGTACAACACTGTACATTTTGAATGAAACATGAGAACAATGGGAAGCCATTTCAGTGTTATGGCACAGCAGACCCATACTGTACATGTTTAATATATGTTGTACATTTTGAATGATACATAAGAACAATGGGAAGCCAATTCAGTGTTATGGCACGTACAGCAGACCTATACTATAGATGTTTAATATATGTTGTACATTTTGAATGAATCATGAGAACAATAGGAAGCCATTTCAGTGTTATGGCRCAGGAACCCCATACTCTTTACAATACTGTACATTTTGAATGAATCGTGAGGACAATATGAAGCCATTTCAGTGTTATGGTACAGCAGACCCATATTATGTTTGTGTTGTACATTTTGAATGAATCATGAGAGCTACATAATCAATGCATTAGTAATCAGCAAGTTACTCTATTGCTCTACCGTCTACATTTTGAATGAATCTTGAGAACAATAGGAAACCATTTCAGTGTTATAGTACAGCAGACCCATACTATGTTTGTGTTGTACATTTTGAATGAATCATGAGAGCTACATCATCAATGCATTAGTAATCAGCAAGTTACTCTATTGCTCTACCGTCTACATTTTGAATGAATCTTGAGAACAATAGGAAACCATTTCAGTGTTATAGTACAGCAGACCCATACTATGTTTGTGTTGTACATTTTGAATGAATCATGAGAGCTACATCATCAATACATTAGTAATCTATTGCTCTACCGTCTACATTTTGAATGAATCTTGAGAACAATAGGAAACCATTTCAGTGTTATAGTACGGCAGACCCATACTATGTTTGTGTTGTACATTTTGAATGAATCATGAGAGCTACATCATCAATGCATTAGTAATCAGCAATTTACTCTATTGCTCTACTGTCTGGTATAACACTTCTATGACTTAAATTAAAGAACTGCAACTTACAAGTACAGAACTTTGCTGCAAGAGTAAACACTGGTAATAATGAATTAAATCACATAACACTTATCCTGCTGCAACTAAAATGGTTACCCATGAAAGATCTTCTCAAATGTCAACTTTTTTTGAAATAGCTTTATAATGTATATATTTGATTTTTTCCACATTTCAGGTAAACATGAACCCAGCATATCAAGTATCGGAGATTGAATATGCTTTGAAAAAGGTAATATTATGTGTTACTGGGCTAGTTGATAGAAGATTTATATAGAGTGCATACCATACCCAGTGAAAAACTTTATAAGAAATTGCACAAAGTGGTAAGTTCAGTAGAACTCAGTAGAATGTAGACCTACATGACTTTGCACTATTTCATACAATTTTATTAGTTAACTTTTTCATGAATATATGATATGCACTCTAGACTGTAAACCTACAGAACTATGCACTATTTTGAACAATTTTGTTAGTTAAGGTTTTCACAGAAATATGGTATGGACTTCATTGTTGTATTTCCATCTTGTATGCATGTTTTTCAGGTTGGCTGTAAAGCACTAGTGATGTCAGATGTGCATAAGTCCCAAGATTACTATCATATGATGAAACAGATCGCTCATGAGTTGCCAAGTGCTTCTCCTGGAGAACTGTACAGTGCAAGGTAACTGCTTAGGTTGCATATTGCCTGACCTGCAGTGTGCCATGTGCGTTGTAAGATTGAGTGTGCATATTTGTACTAACTATTTACAGAGCTGAATAAAAGTTAAGTTTATAAAAAATAACAGCAATTCAATGGATAATATCCAGCCAAAAAAATTGAAAATAGATCTTAATTCACTTGGATGACCATGAAACAATGGTTTGAAGTCGAGACTGATTTTGATTCTTTTATTTATCAAGTTCAACCTTGACTTGAAACCATTGTTTAGTGATCAGTCAAGCGAATTTGGGAAAGTTCTATTGTCCAGCAAAATGCCTCTGAGCCCAGTCCTCTTAGGCCAGTCACATCAGGGCTTAAGATGACGGCAGATCAGTTGCTGGTCATGCTCACAGGCCATGTTAGTTTTAGCTTAGTCATACCTCATTTCTGGCTAAATGGTACTGGTCAAAATGACCAGCAAGACAAAGATTTGACCTTACAAGTTCCAGTTCTGGCCAGATATTGACCGATGTCCAGCAGTTATTTTAAGCCCTGCACATTGACTGTTCACATGATGACCAGTCTGTTGTGGTTGGTCATTATCTGGCCATTGAATAGTCATTACTTTTAGTCCTAATGAACAGAAAGAAGATCTACTCAGCTTGCTAAGGCACTTTTATTCAAATGCTAGAAACTCTTAGTAGATCACACATCAAAAATCAATGATTGTTTTCTTACTAGGCTTCCAGACTTGAAAACTGTCATCATTGCTTCCAAAAAMAATGAACACTTTAGGTAAGACAAAATACAAACTTTTTATTTTTTACACTCCAAGTTGTGGCATGGATGCACTGCTGTGTAAAACCCTGAGATCACTTCAGTTTTGTTCTCTACTGAACTCCATGTGTGTTAAGTTTCTTTTATTCACTCTCTATCCAGTGCAGGCCCGTTGCTAGCACCTTGAAAGAGGAGGTTGGTTTTTCTACCAATCTTAGTTATGTCATTTCTTGAAAAACTTAAATAGCGCTAAACATTATTTCATACTTCTACAAAGAGGGGGGGGGGGCTGTTTGTTTGAACCATCGAACCACCCCTAGCAATGGGCCTGTAGTGCAATCCAGTGGAATCCAGAGCCACTCTATGGAATCTGCTGATAATTCCCATTTAAATTCCCATTTCATTTATCTTGCCAAGAGGAGTTTTCTCCATTTGCTCTGGTTTTCCTCCCATCAGCTCCAGAAAAGTGGGAGCTGTTGACTAGTATATTCATGACACAGTGCCTTTCTTTCAGTGGGGCTTTACGATTTAAGGATCTTGAGGCATTAGGCAGTGCGCCAGACAGGCAACAGCTTAAAGATATTCAAGATGAACTTGACTGTGATGACCCTATTAATATACAATTCACATCTGTAAGTACATAACCTGTTTGTATCATTTCAGTACATTACTGTGGTTCAGCATTGGCTTCCATGTGTGTTTAGTTAGTGTGCAAAAGATGTTTAAGGGCCGTGGACCACCCCTTTAAATTGGGGGGGGCCTAAGATTGGAAAATATAACAGACTAGTTTGGGAAAAAGTGGGGAGGTTAGATTTGAAAATAAAAGTGACTGGTATGGGTAAAGGGAAAAAATGGGAGCTAGAGGCCCCCCCTCCCCCCAGCTCCATGGTCCCTTTATAATTAATAATATTAATATCTCTGTCTTTGCTTCAGGGCACCACAGGGTTCCCAAAAGGAGCCACACTTACACATCATGGGATCGTTAACAATGCAGTATGTGTATCTAATGTCCTGAATTATGATGTAAGTATTGCTGATCCATAATGGCCCTTAATCAAGGGTGTAACACTTGCTTCTGTTTACAGCAATTTCAGTATGTATTTTGCATGAAAATATAAGATTATGATTTTCTTCATTTCTTGGTGTGACAGRAATATGCCAGGGTTTGCATCCCAGTTCCTCTTTACCATTGTTTTGGCATGGTTCTTGGCAGGTATAGTACTTGCTGTATGTATGTTGTTTGTTGTATATACGTGTATGCAGGTATGTTACTTGGTGTATGTTGTTTGTTGTGTATGTATGCAGGTATGTTATTTCTTCGTTATTGCTGCTAATGTATTTATTCTTTCGTTTATTTTTTATACATCCATCCATCCTTCCATTCACCCACTCACCCATCCTTCCATTCACCCACCCACCCATCCATCCATCTGTCCATCCATCCATCCATCCATCCACCCACCCACCCATACATCCACCCACCCACCGATCCATCCATCCATCCATCTCTTTCTCTCTTCCATTTCACTAGTTTATTTGTATTCAATGTACTTCTAGTATGTCAATCATCACACATGGCACAACAGCAGTTTATCCATCACGTGCATTTGATGCAGGAGCAGTTCTCAATGCTGTACAGCAAGAAAAGTAAGTCTTTTATCTCTGTGTACTGTATAGCAGCTACCAGAGGCACCTTTACATGCTTTTTTGAGCTGCACCAATGCTGTACTTACCCAACAGTCGTGATAAGTGATAAACTCAATTTTAAAAAAGTTTACTTAATAGTAGCCTCTGCCTAGAAAGACTCACCCGTCGACACACAAACCACTCCCTGTATCGCATTATAGCATTAATTTATTCAATTGTCTTCCATATTTATTTCTCTGTAGATGTACATCCCTATATGGCACACCAACTATGTTCATTGATGTACTCAATCATCCTAACTTTGCATCTTTTGATGTTTCAAGTTTGAACACAGGTAGGTTAGGCCAAAAATGCGCTTTTAGTTTTAAGAAAATGAATCTAGTTGAGTTCTTTTTTCAATTTTTCTGTGCAAAAATTACATTTTTTGTGTTGATAATTTGAAAACCTGCACATCTGAATTGCCCTCATTTGATGGAGTTTGTGCTTTCTTTATGACAAGGAATCATGGCTGGCTCGACTTGTCCTATAGAAGTGATGAAAAGAATTATTGATGTGCTCCATATGCCAGAAGTAACAGTAAGTATGTTAAAGTAGAATTTCTAGGAGTTGAGAACATTACAAACTAAGGCACTATTTATCAATGAGTCTTTGAGCCCGAATGGGCTATTGACTTGTAGGCCATGAGGACGAGAGGACTAATTGTTTGAGTCAAATCCAACTAGTTGGTCAAATATATAGATGCAAAGAATTAAAGTTTTGAACTAAAGTTAAATTTTTGTTTTTCTATGCTTGTAGGATATAACTTATAGCCTAGTAGTAGCTCATCCAATAAGAATGCAGCATTGAAGATAGGCTGCTAGTTGGATTTGACTAATGCATATTATTCATAGCTATTGCATAACATTTCCTGCTGTTATTTGTCATTTAGATTTGCTATGGCCTTACAGAAACAAGTCCAGTGACCACTCAGTCAATGCGTGATGATCCTGTAGAGTTGCGAGTTTCTACAGTTGGACGAGTACATGCAAACACAGAGGTAACACCCAAGGGCCAACTCTGATTATATTTGCAGACCATTGGCAGTTGCTTAGCATTGGCTCGGTCAGAGAAATAAGCACTGTTTCTGCAGATAATCTCACTCTTTTGTTAATGGACTGGACTACTCTGACGATAAGGCCGCCATTTTGTATCAAGATGCATTATGAGGCGTCCAGGGGGCTAATAAAACTTTGTTACAGTAATGACATCAATTGATATTAACAGCTCACCACAAGATAAAATAACAAAAGATGAATTAAGACGGCACATCGATCACCTTTACCCATAAAAGAAAGACAAACACACGAAACTCTATATATTTGCCGTCATCTTCGTTTTGTTTTGCCTCCTTGCAAGATGGCCGCCGTATCATCGAAGTAGTCCATTGTCTGTTTCCATAGTAARGGTGCAACTATTATTTTTCTTCACAGGCCAAAATTATCGATAGCACCCATGGGCGAGTTGTTCCTATTGGTGAACCAGGCGAAATTTGCTTCCGTGGTTATGCAGTGATGATGGGATATTGGGAAGATGAAGAGAAAACTAATGCGGCTATTGATGCTAATGGATGGTTCCATTCTGGGTAAAGTCTTTGTAGCTACTTTATTCAGAAAAAAAAGCATTGGTCATTGATTAGCGTGCTTCCATCGAGTTTCGGGTGCACGCGGTAGGCTGCTAAGCACGAAGGAAGCGTAAGAGTGCGACTTTAGCTTCTTGAGTGCTTAAGCAACCGACTAAGTGCACCCAAAACTCGATGGAAGCACGATAATCAATGACCAATGCTTTCATAACATACAAAATCTTTTTTTGTTAATCAAAAAAATTTTTTTTTAAATCAAAAATTCTTTGGATGTACCCTCGTGCGCGCTAAATAACCAATCAGAGTGAGCGTTATATCGTGTCTATGTTATATAATTCCTTATGAGTGGTAAACTAAGACCTGTAGTTTTTAAATAGCCTTGTGATTAGTTAGAACGGAAGGATAGAGACCTAGAGCACTGGCTTCACCTGTCATATCCAATTTTCTCAGAATTGCGCAGAATCGAGATTGATGATTATATATAGGTGGACGTAGTGTTTATAAATATTGCCACTGTGATGTTAAAGTGCCAACCATTTTAACAATAGGTTTTTTCACTTTGCTTTATTGGACTGTCCGATAGATTTCTGGTTTATAATTAAAACAACAATCGACCCAACCAAAACACGTCATCGTTCGTCCACCTATTGCTGATAAAGTAAAAGCGATCTTTTAAAACTATTTTGTGTTTTGTATGTTATTCTAGCGATTTGGCAACGATGGATGAAAATGGATATATTAAAATTATAGGTAGAATTAAGGTAAGAATTCCAATCGTTGAACTTCTCCTTCAAGTAACTCCTGCTCGACCACACCCAATGGAGAGGGAATAGTCCAGTTTCGAGTTCCAAATTACCGCTGTGTTTCTTGATTACAGACTCATTTACTCAGGCTTAGCCTCGAATCAGTGTCTAATTACTCGCAAATACCAACGGTAAAGTAAAGAATGCACAACTTCAACAATACGAACACTTTGAAACTTGACGGACCTTGACTGGAACACGTGAATATTCTTCACAAAATCGAGGCTAAGCCTGAGTAAATGAGTCTGTAATCAAGAAACTCAGCGGTAATTTGGAACTCGAAAAGACTACTGTTTTTAATCCATCAGTTCTCAAGGTTTTCAAAGTACTTGACCTTCAACGCACTGAAATTTACAGCATTCTTTAGCCTTGGCGGATGAAGAAAGTTGTATAAACTTCTTAACCTTGGGCATAATGTTTTCCCATTTCAGACCAAGTGTCATTCCCTTGAGTATCATTTCTTTGTTTAACGGTTGTGCACGAGAAGACACATGAATATAGATATAGCTGAAACAAAGAATCTTATTCTCGAGAGAATGACACGTGGTCTGAAATTGGTAAACATTACACCCAAGGTGAAGAGGGACATAAATATCATAAGGGTGTTATTCTGTTACAGGATGTGATCATTCGAGGTGGTGAAAACATTTACCCTACAGAAATAGAACAGTTCCTGTACAAACACCCAAAGATACAAGATGTACAAGTAAGTATTAAACTAATGCCAAGAAAGACTTGTGCGCCCGTATTTGGCGCTAACAGGCCACGTTCGATATCTTAAAATTCAAACTTGATTGCGAGGCTTTAGTCGTATGGTACTTCATGTATTATACAAACACGTGGATCACCAAATACTTTTATTGGAAGGAATAAAATAATCTACCATATACGACGTTCCTACCGTTCGGAATAATAACATTTTGCAGAAATGCTAGTCAATTCACTACTCAAGAATGTTATGATCCAACCTACTGATCCTTTTGAGGTTTAATGCGATTTTGAGACATTTGATTTCGGAGAGCCTCGGTATCGTGCTAGAATTTTAATATCTCGAACGTGGTGTATTTACAACAAGACACGCAGCATGTCGCTGTATAAGTTATTCCAGTTTTAATTCTAAAGTTCAGTAGCGACAAGAAAATCTATTGATTATGTCCTGGTGAAAAAAGGACTTAACATCACCCCGGTTTTCTAAGCAATATATCCATACAAGAACTCGATATTCGGTGGCTATCGTCTTGAAGAGCCACTTGAACTCTAGCTAAATGGAAGTGCTTCTAAATATTACCGAGAGCGAGAAAAACAAACAGACTTTTAATGGGGACTTCAAAAGAGATGTATCACTAAAACAGGGCGTTTTTAATTAAGACTTCTATTCATTTTAATCAAGATTTTATGGCTCCATTGCACTTTGGTAAGCAAAATAAAACTACACGAGGCACCCTTTTCGGGGTGTTTTGAATAAACGTCATCTCTGATTGATTACTTGAAACATTTAATAAAGTGGCTAGAGTGCAGACGGATCATTAACGAGACCAGACGATGACTAATATGAGAATATCTATAAGGGGATGAATATAAGAAAACAGGAAACGAAACGGTAACGCCTTTTTAAAAAATAGTTACAAGCTACACCAAGAATAACATAGATGAGAATATAGCTCAGCTGGTAGAGCATCGGTAGTACAATTCCGAAGGTCGTGGGTTCGATTCCCAGCGAGGTCGGAAATTAATTTTTCCGAATTTAATTCCAAGGGCTTTCGCCCGGAATAACCTCGTTCGCAAGCACTATAACTTATCTATATTTCTATATCTTCAAGAATAACATATAAATGTGCTAATATCAAATGATCAAATTGTGTATTCGTATCGTGAAGGAAAAAATAGTAATAATAAAGAGCGGAAGTCGTATTAGTATTCATGCATTCAAGCTAACAAAAAAAAAAAAAATTTAGGAAAGATTCTTATTTACACACTTTTATCATTATCGGTATCTTTGAACTTGAAATTCGCAGACAGCGCGTCTTATGAGTCATAAAAACTGAACAGGTTACACTGTAATAAAAAAACAGCGCGGGTCGTTAGAGGATTCTGCCGGCGCTTCTTTTTGAGCTTTTTGCCGCTCCGTTATGACTGGAAATCAAAATGTAAGCCCGCCGCTTGATGGTATAATTATTCGGTAATACCTAATGATGGGCTAAAGAGGGATACATATATCAACTAATTGACGGGCCCCCGCACCAGCAAAGTATTTCAAGAAGGTCGATGTGATTGGATGACTTACTGTACTGAAAGAAAATGGGAAGCCATTTCAGTGTTACGGCATGTGTACCGTGTGCGTGCATGAAGACCGGTACCGTACGTTTCCCACTCATACGATAACCATTCTTGTGGAAGCCATTTCAATCTTACGGCATGTCGTACCGTGTATGTGCAGGAAGACCGTACCGTACGTTTCCCACTCGCACGTTAACCATTTTTATGGGAAGCAGTTTCAATATATTATTGCATGTCGTACCGTTTACGTGTAGGAAGACCGTACCAGCGTACAACTTTTCCCACTCATACAAAATCAACTCTATACAAAGCAATGTTCTTTACTTGATTCAACGAAAATTTCATTCGTCCGTCGTTTTATTTTCAGATTATTGGTGTTCCAGATCAGCGGTTAGGTGAAGAAGTCTGTGCATGGATAAAGTAAGACTTGACTATTTTGATAAGTCAATGCTGCAGGTGTACTATAAGCTCACTAGAACCTGCGTTTTGATTGGCTCATCTGTCGTATTTGTTCCATTTTTTTTTCGTAGCTTATATCCACAAATTAACCATTAAAATGGTGAGCGATGCAAAAAGATAAAGTCTTTTTCAAATTCCACAGAAGAAAAACACTGATAATACGAACAATCTAGTAAACTATTGACAATAATTGAAGACTACTTTTAGTACTGATTTGTTATCTTGGTTCTTAATTTCCCAACATTTTTTTTCTTGTCAAGATTACATGCGGGAGAGACGGCAACAGCAGATGAGATCAAGAATTTCTGTAAAGGACAGGTTGGTGTTCTTAAATATTTTATCACGGTTAAAGTAAAATAACTACTAGCCTTGCTAACAGCAGCCCTCAAGTCTGGCATACATACGGCCATGTCTATCCTGCTATCTCTTGTTCAAGTGTCTTGCCCACTAGTGACTTAATGTGGTTTGCCATGCGCTATTAAAAAATTTTCCTTATGATGGGAAAATTTTTATAAAATTATCTTGTATATTTTATAGATGGTTTATAAAGTTTTAAAATTGGAGTAGCCTTTTCATAATAATGGACGTAGCCAATCAGTGAACGTGTTCTATTTCAGTATATAGACCATCCTGTGGTCTTAGCCTATCACAGCCCGTCACACAATTACTATGAAATGCGACTTTTTTCGGTATTTTACTGAGATTCTAACTATGGCCCGCTTTATTTTAGCAACAAGTTGTAAAAGTCCAGTCTGGAATAATTTGTTTCTGTATGTTTTTAGATTGCGCACTTTAAAATTCCCAAGTTTATAAAATTCGTAGATGACTTTCCCATGACAGTAACTGGAAAGGTAAGAGAATCGTTCTTGCTCTTTGGATGCTTGTCTTCTCTGGGATCAGGCCTTCTGATAGACACTGCTAGTTGCTAGAAATTTATGGAGAGTACTCCGGTTATCCCACGGTTTTCCTCTTACCTTGGGTTTAAAGCTTTTCCATTTCATTCCACGTGTCATTTTCTAGAGTATCATTTTCCTAATTATAGCATCAAAACCTATGATAAAGATCGCACTTAATTTTTTCCTTAATAGTATCGCATTTTTACCATTAGTAAAAGAGAAAATTCAATAATTGAACTTTATTATGGTGCCTTACCGGCTATCGGTGATGTAAGTATTGATATCTCATCTATATAAGGCACCAGAAGCCACTACACCTTGGCGAAGTACTAGATGGGAATTGGGAAAAGATGGTAATCTGGGAGATCTAATAAATATTAAGTTACATGACAGTAATGGGAAGCTATTTTTAGTGCTAATATTTAGTGCCATCTGTAGCACTGCATTATTGGATTGTTTCAGTACAATCTATTTTCTCATTTGATATTCCAATATCTTACAGGTTAGAAAGTTTGAGATGAGAGAAGAAATGGTTCGTGAACTTGGATTATGATCTGCGGCTAAAGTAAATTAAACTTTTTTAAGGTCGTCTTTGAAGACTCTCAGAATGACAGTAATGGCGGACCATCGTCTCGTACAGGTGGTTTCTGATAGATGAAAAGGGATCTTAGCTGCAGCCAGAATTATCCAACCAAGGAAACAGATACTAGGCTTTTCAAGGAAAGATTGATTCTCTTTTTATTTTTGTAATTCATACTGCAACGGAAAGTCTTATCTTTTTTAATGTACATGAAATCTCATAATGAATCAATTTGTACATATCAATTCAATACTCAGATATTAATAATAATAATAATAATATTCAATCAATAAAACCGTAATTTTAATTTTGGTATCCGGCATACGTAGGTCTTGGGTTTGATTTCTGTCAGGGACTCTGATTGTTCTGAGTTTCTTTCAGCTAGAGACAAATAATCAATTTCTATACTACTTTCTAAGCTCATGAATAAATTCATCATATAATTTTGAGATTGATCGACATTCTTGCATGGATGTACTAGTCATATGTATGTCGGGCCCCTACCCTCGCTTTATAACAGCACGAAGTAATGTGTGTCTGACTGTTGTAACCGGATCGACTACACAAGTGTGGTGCACCGCACCCCCTCCTCCCAACTCTTATCCCACCCCCCCACCCCCCAAACAAAGTCCTCGATCCGCCCCTACCTTGCATCACTGCATCACTGCAATCTGTAAAAAAGAAAGTATGAAACAAGATGCTAATCAATAGCAAAGCCATGCACAAATGGCGCCGAAGATTATGCGATACCTAGAGTCCTAAAAAGATCGTAACAAATTTCCCCCTCCGAATAAAAAAAAACAACTGTACCGACTGATCTCTCGCGTTGCTGTGTGATACGTTTTCGGTATGGCGGTTTCTACGCCCCCTGGCTAATCGATTATTAATTCATAACAAATTCCCTGGTTATTAACAAAATCCCAGATCACACATGCAGATTATTTAGGTTGTTGGAAATATTAAAGGAGATTATGATTAGGTCTGTCTAACAATTATTCAATAATAACCGAAACGAAGTTATTCCCGATATTCACCGAGCCTGAGGTGAATAATTGTTTTAGCATAAATACACAGGTGAGGTGATTCTTTCAAAAAAAAAGAGGAAAAATAGAAGATAAAAGACACATTTAAATTAGGACAGCACTGAACAAGGCGGCTGGCCGCCATCTTGGATTATCGTATGATAATCTGAGCTTCTCGACCAATCAGCGCACGAGATTTTCAATAATCACCTGTGGTATTTATACTAAATTAAGTAATTAATCAACCTGCATAATTAAATCTTTTTACTTGATCCGATTAAGTGACAAAACAGACGCCATAAAAGAGGGGGAATTCCCCATATTGTTGTGACATTTAAATGGCTTCCTCTTGGCACCTGTTACACGGCCCTGTAATTACCCCGGTTTTAGAATCTCTGATGAAGTAATTTTAAGATGCAAGCGGTGAAGGCCTGCGATGCCAGTAGCGTAAAAAAAAACGGATCTTTGGTGCTCTGCAAGATACTTACATCTTCAGCGCCTCTGGAGCCAGAGTAGCCAGGAACCAATCAAATTATCACATTGTCCAACCACAAAGCCCCGAACCACACATACGGACTGAGTACATGTCGATATATGCTTTCAAAGTCAAAAAAAATGTTCCAATTCTCATAAGTCATATAGTCAATTGTCTCTTGATAAGTCCAGTAAAGTACTCATCTTCATTCTGATAAACACAAAATGAGAAGAATAAAGATTTTATCTCGAACACTGAAGCCGGAGTCGGCCTTCCTTGAAGCTTTTCGGAAAGTACGAGAAGAATAGCAAATATTAAATATTAACAATTGTCAAATCTCAACAATAAAGCTCTGATTGGAAAACATCTTAAATTTATAGGAGAGAACTAAAGAAACAATATCGTACCACAATCAAGTGTTCTGGAGTGGTCTGTCACTGTGGGGGTTTTCATCGTGGTTGGGGATAGTATTTGTTATTTCTATTATATATTAAAACAAAAAACAAACAAAACAAAAAAAGAAAAAGAAAAAGAGTATGCTGATTTGCTGCTAAGAAATAAGAATATTGGAGATCTTTCTATAAATATGAGCTGAAAGGATGTTCATAACTGGACACAAGTCAAGCTATCTATATATTTTTATGTATCTCAATGCTATGTTTAACAATGGAAACAAGAATGATACCAATGCTTTTTTGATCGTTGATTTGAACTTGACAGGAGATAGAAAGGAGAATTAAGAAAGTTAAAGTTCAATTAAGAATAAAGTCACTAAACCCGTGAAATCGAAATTAGACTTACTGGACTTAGACCCTAATTCCATTGTTTTCTCTTTGTCTATTTGCCGACTATTCCACGTTGACTAATATTTTTTTGTTTCACGGGTTAAATGCCTTTACTCTAATAGAAACTGTGATTTGTTTTTAAAATGAAGGAATATGATAGGATGCAATGTCCTGGGAATGGGGGTAAATTGGGATGTAATTTTATGTTCTACGTCTTTCTCTTTGATTGTTTCCGATATTTCACCACTTACTCTAGATATAAAAATAAACATCTTCTTTTCCCTTATTACATTATTGTTATGATAGCAGGTGATCTTATGTCTTCACTAGACATGGCTGAGTCTTATTGATATTGAAGTCAGTCATCCGATTCAGTGAAATATACTGAAGGTCATATATTGAAGGAGACAGGGAAGGACGGTTTGGCCCGGCCTTTTAGCCCCGGCCAGCCAGCCCACGTTAAGCCAAACTCTTCTTACGTGTATCTCAATAATACGGACACCTCTATATTACGGACACCTCTATATTACGGACACCTCTATATTACGGACACCTCTATATTAAGGATACCTCTATTTTACGGACAGATAGCTGGATATTTATGTCCCAGCAAAATCCCCATACATTTTTTGCTTTATAAACACCTTTATATTACGGGCACCCCTATAGATTTAATATGGACAATTTTCTCTGGCCCTCGGTTCTGCGGTATCTTACAGGTTCCACTGTATGTAAGAATGAAAAGAATACCAAGCATGTAATCCCGCCTTAGGGAAGACAATTTAACCACAACCCTTTAAATTTTCGTTATATTTTTCATTCTTCCATCGCGGATTCATTTTCCATTGAAGAGCAAAATCTTGTCCGTTTTGTTTTGGGATTTAGTTTTTAGATATGGAAATGAGGATCAGCTGGAGGTTTTTTCAATTCGCCCTCAAACAGACTAGCGACAAAAGATTTTAAGTTTAATTTGTACTTGAGATTCCCTGCAGCGTCAATCGATTTAATAAACTCACTCATAGAGGGGAATGAAATAACCGTCAATGCGCGGGGTTGAGTCTTACCCGAGGTGACCACAGTTTTAATCCATGGTCTAGAATGAAAAAAATGGATTGGACCGATTACAAGACCACAGAAAGCTAGCTTTGTTGTCCGTGTGGTATTACACAAGAATACAAGACTGTAGGATCACGAAAAGAAAGCGGGATATAAGATGCCGCTAAAGAACAATGTCAGCATACCTATATTAACTGTTTGTCATGCCTTAAATAACTAATTCCATGTAAGGTCTTAGATATTTCTCCCTGCATGTAATTCAATAGGATGGTATTGTGAGTCATGCATCAATCCGTATAATGATCGGCTTCAAGCTTTTCTTTTGCGGCTTTTTGTTGTCGAATGAACGAAATTCTTTTAGACCAATTCACGTTCGTTTTGGTCGATTCTTGCTTGGCTTTTTTGATAGAAAATATCCTACGATAAATAAAAACACATTTTAAGGTAGCATTTTAGATGATTTCTTGACGTAATGTTAGTGATCTCTGTCTGCCACCGTGGATGTCTATATTTGGATCAATGACAAGTAGTATGCGTAAATCGATGCAATGGACCACACCCAAACCTCATACCGTATAGCCAAGCGCTACTATTGAATGAACTTGAATTGCTAACCGACCTTTATTCTTGCTATCACTTATGCACCGCATGTGTTCAGCTTTTCTACACCAGCTTGATTAAGGACCAATAAACACAATTGTCTCACACTGTCTCCGTTTGATTTATAGATTTTATTTGCTACTGCCGATATGTAATGATTTCTAATATGGTATTCCATATGGGGTCTAAATATTATGACGGGGCACAGTTGGCTACTCTGAATACATCCCTTTAGAGAAGAGGAACTATGTTTATGGATTTTACCGATCCAGCACACTTAAGAAATGGGGCTAAGTATTGAATAAATGAAGCTCTTGATAGCCAAAACATTCCTGTTCTAGAACATTCTAAGTGACCCAGTATAAGAATCACTACCCGTTCTTATACTACAGGTTAATAGTAAAAGTGGGATTACTTACCTCTGACAAGGAAATCCAGTCCTCACAAATAATCTTAATTCCAACTTTTAATAAATAGGATTGAATCGATATCAATTCAATATTTTTTCACCCAATAACTCTTGTAGTTCTTTGACTAATTACCTACAGTATTATGATCACAATACTAAAAGCTTTCCACAGACAATACTGTCTTGAAAGATCAAGATACCTTAGATATTTACAAAACCCTGATAAGACATGATTTGACCAACTCGGTATTGTCTTGTCCAAGATGATAATCTTTCCTTTTCCAAAGATTTTCTAGTGTTTTTCAGCATCATGTAAAATATCAAAAATAATAGGCACATATAGTCAAATATTGATTGAGGTTTCTTTTCCTCGTCCTACCGATCTAAACCTAGCTCCAATGAGTAGAACACAACTACCAGGCATGCTATTAATGTAGAATCTGTCGTATCTGGAAAAGATCCTTATTACTCATTATATATTCAGATCTTGATGCGCTCACCAGACAAGACTTGACCACGAGATTATACTAGTAGTTCAAAAGGTTTATAGATGTGTGTATGTTTATTCAGTACTAAAGGTGGACGGTGTAAAAGACAACTGGGATGACAAATAGACAAAAAAAACACACACACACACAAAAAAAACGAGGCGTATAAATCGACAACAAAACAGAGGAACACCCATACTATTATGAATTGGCACGTCTATGTAATTTAAAGGTTATGAAACAATAATGCAAGCTGGATGGTGAAAGGAGTAAAGGTTGGAGAAGGATTAAGTTTCATATAGCTTCACAACCAACTGACCTATAAACATTCCTGATCCCTCCTGGCTCGACAAAAATATACGAATATACAGATTCCTCAAAATGTTTTCTTGTTAGTGTACATAACACTTTTGGAGTGAAGCATACAATATTTGAATAGCTCTTGTCTGGAATACTAATTGATCGATGAACGAAGGTGAATAAAACAGATGGTTAGATTCCTGTGTCAATATATATCACCCAAAAAATCCCAACTCTTTTAGGACTTGCTTGGGGCCTAGCTGTAAGCTGGTTTCCTGATAGACTAATTAATTGTAGTATATTACTACTGTCGCTGTATTCCCAATCACTGTTCTTGATTGGGGCTTGTTAAGCACAAGGATATGAGAAGCTCGAGACCTTATTTTCCATTTCATCATGTAAAAAAGATAGCAGTTTGGGTTTGAACTCGGACAGCAGACAGAGGGGTGTGCTTGACAAATTAACAAAACAACTGATTATTTACTGTCCTGTGATTGGTTGGATCTAAGACGTGTCACCAACACTACGTTGGGTCAAGTCCCAAGATGCGCATATACAACAAGGCAGCACGGCCGACTGACTTTATTCTCCTACGAACATCAACATGTCGGAGACCGATTTCCAGATCTTGAGCTTTATCCACTTCAAAGGCTCGGACAAAAGCAAGGTACGAAAATCTGATCGATTTTTCATGAATTTTCCCATGTCTGGCTTCCTATGGATACCCAGATGGGCATGTTGTTAGAGATAACGCTCGCTTTCACAGGAATGCACAGTGAATACACTGTAAAGCTTGTTATCTAGTTGGGTGTTTCCGTCATAATATGAGAACACGTTTGGGAATTGTTGCCCTCAGAAGTTTGATATATTTGAAAGACTCGAGTAAACAATCGACAAGACTTTTGTAGACAAACTAGGCGCGATAAAGGCCTTGATTTCATGGCTATCGACTCGCGAGGCGCACCTCGAACTCTACGTATCCTCAGGTTATAATAATCTCTAGTCGGTCCGATGATCRCGCTTTAAAACTAACTCTAATGTTACCAACTTGTTATAGTATCTACTTCGAGTATTTGCTTTTGTAGATCTTTTATTTTAGAAATGATGATTGGATTTTTTTGAATTTTAAACAAACACTGGGAAAGGCCTAGATTCCTGGGTTGAAAGTTACTAAGATATCATAGTTTTCAACTACACAACACCTTATAGATCGAATCTTTATATATTCATGATGGCTTTTTGATTTTGTATAATTAAACTCATATCTTGCGTCTGTTGGTCGACAAAGATGTACTATAGCTCTTCAGTTGCCTTGAATAATATCTTCCAATATGAACCAGCTTAGAAACATGATCACCTATTGTGATTATATTTACACCTAAATGTTTGTTTTTCCTACGAGAAACTACAAGAATTCCCTGATGTATTTTGACTTGGTGTATTCTGCTAGAAATGCGTAATAGTCGGGCAAAAATTAAAAATATATTTCAGCAAAGCTAGCCCGTGCCAACGACAATCTACGACGTAAAAAATAAGAAGAGTAATTTGTAAGGTGCAGATACTGTATATGTGTTCGGCTTCCTCTATATGGATTGCTTTTTACTCTCTGATATCACATAAGAGATTATCACAAATGAACTATATCATAGACTTGGGGGCTCACACCCTTAAAAAAGTCTGATTTTTGTATACATATACTAAATCTTTCAGTTATTATTTATTAACAATTTTAAAACATGAAGGTTGAGATCATGTTTTACTATAAATTGCTGTCAGAGAATACCAAATGGATAAAATAAAGAACATTTATTTAATCCTTTCATCGGTCTATACGATTGCAAAGTATCGACTCAATATTTTTATAGTTTAGTTTGGAGTTCTTTACAAGGTGTGACTAGATTTTTTATTTACTCTAGAGGAGTAGTCTTGAGTGATCAATCCAGACCCAACCCAAAAAGACAGCTTGAAAAAATGTTTACTAAATGATCCATTTTACCATAAAATTACACTAGTCAAGATACAAATTATGTCAGAAATAAAAACTCAATCCTTGATTTACTAGGACTCTTAAAAGTCAACTAAGAGTGGCTCCATTCATAGGAGTATTTTTTACTAAAGTGCTTGAATGCTATTGGTTTATAACTGTAGTGGGAACAGTCCATTTATCACTCCACCAAGAGGGACAAATTTCAATACAGGTGCAGAATGGAAAAAGGCAATTTTTTCCAATTCCTGACTTAATGAATAAAAATCTCTCTCAGACTACAGAAAATTCATTTGATAGTAAGATTGATAATTTTGTTTTTCATATTTAGTGGTTTTCAAAATATTATGGATCAGTTAAATATTTACTGTTAAAGTTGTTTTGGTTTTGACTGATGACATTTAATCGTTTTGACTTAAAGATATTTTTTAAGTGAATCATTTTAAATAATAAATCAAACAAAACAGGAGATGAGACTCCCAAACAATAAAAGTACAAATAGCATCTGCTATTAGAATTGACAAAAATATAAATATAACATAACTACAGAGAATACTCCCTTTTTAATGTATTATCTGGCAATATTAAGGGAAAAAGACTGGGATTTCCTTGTTGCTTGGCAAAAAAACAAAGCTACAGAAAATGTTGGGATGTTGGGTCTGCATTAATGATAAATGTTTATCTCATAATCTTGGAACTGAAAACACAGATATCAATTATTGAGAATGTAGAATGTTTGCTGTAGACAAAAATGCCTTGGAGCCATAAATATGGCTCTAAGCTATAGATTAAAAATTCACAACATAATGTTGGCACAAGAAAAAGGAAGGAAGGGGGAAAAAATAGGAAAAGAATAGAAATTTGCACTATGTTTTTAAAAAAAACTTTTGCACTGTCTGGGGTACAAGTAGAAACGGCAGACTTGTATTCTCCATGCGGGATACCGGTATTGATGAGTCATTATGTTTGATTCTTCAAATGTATAACTAGAAAATAGGAAATTGTGTTTGTCATATCTAGACAACATGTCTGTTTTCAGGTAATATTCTTATCTATAGCAGGATCTTGCTTCCATGAATGTGATTAGACTTTACAGATAAGATTTTATTCAAGAGAAGTAAAGACAAATAGCATAATAATAATAAATTTATATCAATGATTCATTAGACCTTAGACAAAATACACCTATAGTAATTTTTTTTACTAGCTATGAAAAAAGTTACATAATTATTTTGTTTACGTTATTATTATTAAATGTTATCATTTCTATCAATATATTCAAAACCTTAATTTTAAATCTCATAACGGCTTGAACTTGGTTGTAGTGAGTTAGTCAAATATTGGTGAATGTTTCATTTGGGAAGTAAGAAATTGCTATTTTAATAGCCATATTGACTATTAGATTTTTGGTTAAAGTGATTTTCAGCAGACCGTGAAACAGTTTCTAGTAGTTAGTGTATAATTAAGTCACAAGACACCAAGGAAAACAAATTCAAATAAGATATTCTAACTTCTATTATTCTTATATTTCAGTCTTAGGAAAATCCCTTTTACACCTTTTTCTTCCAAATAAGCATTTTAAACATATCTGCAAAACCATGGTTTTTTGTTGTTTTTAAAAATTTATTTTCCTATCTTGTGAGATTGCAAAATTTTAGGAAATATTGACTGTTATGTCTTATATGCAAGTCCAAAATTTAAAAATATTTCTAAAAAGGCATTAGGCAAAATATAACCAAAGTTTTATTACTATTAAGAATTAATAGTAGTATTCGTCAATCTATTATTTGAATTACAGTTTACAGAAATGTCTCTTACAATCACTCAACAACATTCTTAACATACAAAAGGCCGATGTCACTAATTTAGTATGAGAGGGATTTACATCGAAAAAATAATCTAAAAGCAACAAAAACTTTATCATATGAAGCAGAAAATGTGGTAAACATGCTAAGAAATGGAATTTGTTGAGAATTCATGTTAAACAGACACCATGAATTCATTTMGAGCTTCTTCAGTTTTCTTAATAGAATCCACTATGTGGTTTCAGATCTCCCAGGTATGATATCTTCACCTCAAGATCACTCTTCCTGGTTTATGCCATGGATGATATACATTGTCAGATTTCTGCTACTGTGATAGTATTATCCTCTTTCACTTCTCAAGTGCTCTACAGCTCCCAGAGTGTTTATATCACAGTACATAGACACAAACGGATGTTTTATATCGCTTTCATAAAATATTTTTGAATGATTTCGTGCGAGCGTGTCTCTGTTCTCTGATATAAACACGGTAGTCAGCCAATCAGTGTATATATGTACACCTGATTGCAAAAAGGTTGTAGTATGCATTTATGAATATATCAAATAAGATGCAAGATATCAAATGAGATGCAGAATGAAAAAAGTAACTTATTTGGTCTTATTTATCTTCTATTGTTTCAGAGACATAAATATTCCACAAAGTCAAGTGCAAAAAGTTTTTTCCACAAAATTTTGTGGTTAARCAAWCRTRTTTAAGCATKTTTTACATTCTGYATCTCATTTGATATCTTGCATCTCATKAGGTATCTGTATAAGTGTATACTACGACCTTTCTGCAATCAAGTGTATATTTATATATATATAATATAATAATATATAATAGAAGATAAATAACACCAAATAAGTTACTATTTAAGTTTTGCTTCTCATTTGATATCTTGCATCTCATTGGATATATGTATAAATAGTCTCCCTCGCATCCGTTTTTAGTGTCGGTTGTCACGTAATGCTCCCTCCCCACAAACGGCTGCTTGTATTCTAACTACATTCCTTTCTCATTGTTTGGATGGTACCAATGAGGTCGAGCGTATTGTTTCCTATTGAGCCAATCACAGTGTCCGAAAGCATAAACATGGTGAGTTTCAGTCGAGCTGCCGAAGAACATCCTTGAAAGAAATCGGTGCAGAATATAGGGCCATGAGTTTATCAGTTCCCACTGTCAAATGTCCCCTCTTGAAATAGAGTTTATTATTATTATTATTCGCCGTTTTCGACTTCACACTGTTCTTCCTCTTCTAGTGAGCTTCTTCTTCACATCACTAACTCCTAATCTACGTAACTTTGAGACTTGGTCATCCATTAGACGTATTAGCGACCTTTATTAGATATGACGACGAGTACGAGTAAAGCTAAATCATAGTCGATTTCCGATTTTTTACAATGTAAAGTTTCAATCTATTTCATACACGATCAAGACTACAAAGATATAGTGCCAATCTTTAAAAGTTTTAACTCGGACTCGTTCTCTAACTCGTCGTTGGATCTAAAGGTCTCAATTAAAGGAGACACAACAACCACAATGTGACCAGACTCTAGTCGGGATTCTAGTGTATATTTGTTTAGAAATTTGCCAAACCCTGTTGGAAGATTGACAAAAATATTTTTTTCTCTTCGACTAAAGTTTTGATAGCCAACTTCTGATGTGCATTTAGATCAAGAATACTGAACTTTGAAGACACGAGGCCAAACATGTACACTTCTGCTATGAACGAGTTGAGAATGCGAATTAAAAGCTGCAMGGTGATTGGTCAGATCAAAAGTCCGCGAACGGTTCTCTAAATATGTAACCCGTCTTGTGATTGGCCAAACAATGAGAAAGGAATGTAGTCCGAATGCAAGCAGCCGTTTGTGGGGAGGGAGCATTGCGTGACGACCGACACTAAAAACGGATGCAAAGGAGACTAATGTATAAATGTATACTACAACTTTTTTGCAATCAAGTGTATATATATGTGTATTATATGTATATATAAATGGTGTGTTCGATATATATTTCTGTTATTGTTTGATTTAAGGAGCCTCTTACAGCAGAGGATCTTGAAGGAAATACCTGTTTGCTATGTGAAAATGGCTGTGAAGGCTTCTCAACACACTCTTGGAGGTCAGTCTATAATAACTTTGAATCTTTGAGAAATACTCTTTAATGATACTAATAAATGAAATTCGATTGCTTTAAAGACATTATACTCAATCTCTAAGAATATTTGAAAAATATTTCATAGAAATATATACCTTTTAAACTTAGGTATTTCTTCAATTAATGAGTTTGCAAACCAAAAATATTTGAATTGAACTTGAAAAATATTTTTCACATCTAATGATTAATAATCTAATAATGATCCAATAATTGAATACCAGTCTGAGGTTTGCGGAATTTAAAATCATAAATGATATTCTGTTCATTTGTCACAAATTTTTGTGTTTTATTATCGAAAATTGTTTTGATGAAAGGTCATAAGTTGATAGATTCATTTGTAATCAGTATCTAATAGTCTGCTGATGACATTTAATAGAAGCAATTTCCACTTTAGTACAAGCAAATTATATTTTACTAAAATTTCAGAAATTGAAAGTATTGTACTTAATTGTTGCAGATTAATTAACATTTTGTAATGACCATTGAAAAAGAATTTAAACTTCAGGAAATTTTTTWAAAAATTTTGATTATATAAAGGAAATACATATTGGAAAAAGAGTTGAAACTATTGAACTGTATAATCTTACTTATTTCAGTCAAAAGATTCTATATGCTAAGCAATAGTACTAGTTAGCATGAAGCTTGTTTACTTAATCTTATTTTTTGCAATATTAATCTGAGATATTTAATAAGATATTTCAGGTACAACTTTTCTATATTTCTACTTCTATGATATTAGTTTTATAAATATGATTTAGTTAATTTAAAAAATTTTCTCATCAACCTGGGTTCAAACCTACACAATTCGACTGAAAGGGGAATATGGATAAAAATCATGGAAGCAGTTAAATATTCATCCTGAGTTAATAATTTATTGTTCATACTAGTAATAGTGGTGAGCAACCCATTAAATGTATGTCTTTGGGTTTGGCAAAAGAAAAAACAAAGCAGTTAAGATTCAGTTCCCAATTTCAAAAATATCAAGGTATATCAAAAATATATATGTATATAAAATAAAGAATAAATATAAAGATAAAAATGAAAATGAAAATAGATATAAAAATAAAAAATAAATATAAAATAAATGAAATATATATATTTAAAAAAATAATATAATATAAATAAATAATAATATAATATAAATAAATAATAATATAATATAAATAAATAAAATAAAGTAAAAATTAAGAAATGTATAGAATATGAAATATAAATAAAATATATATAAATCAAGGCATTAAGAAACATATCCTTCAACACAGTCTGCCCGCTCACCAGCAAAGGGTCCATCCTGTAAACCTGAGGTATAACTAATCAGATAAAGTTGTAGTCAACTGCTTCAGTGATTTCTACCTATAGTCCCTTTCATTCCAGTGGCCTAGGCTTGAGTTGGTCAACGACGAGTTTTTTTGAATAGACTATACACACTGTACATGCTAATCTGTCCTTAGTATTAACATATTATTTTGTTATTAGGAAATTTTGTAACTCATGCAAGTGCTCCCAAGAACTTCATGTTAAGACTTTAAATAACAATGAACATAATGAACCAAAGGACCGTATGTGCGTTGAAGAGGAAAACCCACCCATATTGTCTGGTTCCGACTTAGAACAGGCTGCTCTAGAAGGATTTGAATGGGTGCCTAGAGGTTTAGACAGTGAGCAGGTAATGATATGATACCCCAGTTTCAAATTTTCTTACCTATAGTCTAAAATATTTAATAGTCCACTACTAAAGGGCTGTGGATTTTCAAAGTGTTCCTACAATTATGGTATTTATGAATTATGGTATTTATGAATATTTTGATACTGAAATGAGGCAAAAGGTTATCCCAGAGTAAATAAATGATAGGTAATCCAGGAATACAGCAATATCTTGTAAGTTCAAGGGGTCTTTTAATGCCCTATTAATGTTAAGACCCAGGGTGGGGGAGGGGGTGGTCAACCCCAGGTAGAATTGACATTTAAAATTTAAAATTTTCTTATTCCCCACCCCCAGACAACTGATGAAAGTCAAATTTACACCCTAAGTACATATTTTTATTGTATTGTCTGGCTTTTTCAAGATAGCAGCTGCATCAAATTCTTTATTGTGGGGGCATTAAATAATATAAAGATATTCAAGGTTTTCCCCACATTTTGCAATTCACGACGCCTCACTCTCATGAAACTAAAAGCCGTGCTTCAACCATAGTTAACTATGCTTCAACATAACACCAGCTCGTCACTTTTAGCTGTTTATTTTTGCTATCCTACTACTTAGCAATAAGTTAACATCTCTAACTATTTGATAACAACAGATTCATCAGTATATGAGTCTCTTACCTGGCGATAAAGTCCCTAAGTTGAATTCCGTTGGAGCGAAATACCGAAGGAAGCAGCTTGCTTTACAACTGCCACTGCAAGACTTCTCTTCCAAGCACTGTAAAAAGCTAACACTGGAGCAAAAGATGGCCATGGAAGACTTCAACGAGAAAAGGCTCAAAAATGCTTTAGGGATAGGTGAGTAGGTTCTTATAAAAGCATTTTTCTAAGTATTTCGTGGCTTATTTTTGTCGAAATTCGACAAACATTTTAATTAAGAATCTAGAAGTCCACTGACCAAACGTATTCATTTTCGTGTAATTTTGGCGGGAAATGCCGCGCGCGCTTACCGCAAGTCTGTAGAGGTTTGGCGGGAAATACTGGCGGGAAATACTGGCGGGAAATACTATGTACTTATTGACTGAGTGGGAGGGCCGTACGGGAAAATATTTGGCTCGAGGTCATGTCGTACGGACCGAGCGCAGCGAGGTCCGTACAAATGACCGAGAGCCAAATATTTTCCCGTACGGCCCGACCTAACTCAGTCAATAAGCATTTTATCATATGACCCTCACGAAAATAAAAATAATTAAGAAAAAGAAAGCGCGCGGATTCGAGCAGGGCCGGACGGGTTTTTCCGGCCCGCTTACGTCAACCCGTCCGGCCCCCATCACGTGACTTTTTCCAATGGTTTTATTAGAGCGCGCGAGCAGGGCCGTACGGGTCATATGATAATGTGAATTATTTCGTAATGAGGAATGCCTCGTGTATGTAGTGACTTCAATAATGGCTGCAAGTATGACTTCCAGTAAGAAACAAAAACACATTTAGGAAAGCCAAGAATTTCCTATTAATTTTGAGTTAATTTCAATTCATTTGCTGGAGCTCTAAAGTTTTCATCTGTTTGCGGGGAGAATCACTAGTACTAGTAGTCCGGTAACTTTTGTTGTTGTTGTTTCAAGTCAAACAGTATCCAACTCGGGATTTTGTCAGGAATAGACTAGAAGATGAAAAATAATGTCTGCATTTTTAGTTGCTAAGCAATACTACTGTCGTATTTTCATTGCTTGAAATTCTTTCTCTGTTTTATTAAAARTTCAGTCTTTAAGACCTTCAATACGGAATACTCATCATCAGTCATTAATTTATTCTTTGGGTAATAGAGTTCCATAATTATATTCCAACCAAAACTCGTAAGTTCTCACTTTCTAGTTCACTAGAAAGAAAATCAGTTTAGAAAGACCCATAAACTAATTTATATTTTTTAAATATTCATTTTCAGGGAGTGTACGCCCTTCTATAACAGAAGATGCAACGTGCAGTAAATGTAAAGATACTATTAGTGCTGCAGAGATGGCCATTTTTGCCGAACGTGCTGGGCCCGAGTTCTGTTGGCATGTGCCGTGTTTCGTCTGTGAAGAAGATGGTGAACTATTGGTTGACTTAGTCTACTGTTTTAAGGACGGTGCCCTCTATTGCCCACGACATTGGGGTGAAAGTCAAAAGCCACGCTGCGCAGGATGTGAAGAGGTAGCGTGAAAATTGCTCACTTTAAGCTCCGCCACTAGAAAAACTAGAAAAACACCAAACGTCTTAAAAGAGTACGTGCGTTAGTAAGCTCTTTTCAAGCGTTACTGATATAAAGAAAAAATAGTAATCAAAGGAATGACATTTGTTTTAAAATAATATGATTACGTACAAAGGTACGGGATAAAAAGCTGTGACAGTTTTACCGAAATCTCTTTTAACCTTCCCCCATTTTTTTCACCAACAGTTAATTTACGTAGGAGAATATTCCCAAGCAATTGAGAAAAACTGGCATCCAGGTCACTTATGCTGTTCCTTCTGTGACGAATCTCTTTCGAATCAAAAGTTCGTGACGGTAGAGGGCAGACCATCGTGCTTCAAGTGCTACGATTTGAATTTTGCTAACACATGTGAATCCTGCAAGGAACCCATTGGCCCCGGATCCAAAGACGTGGACGTTCGTAACAAGCACTGGCATGAAGACTGCTTTAAGTGCTCTCAGTGTAACAAACAATTGGTAAGTATGAATTGATACTGTGCTCTCTTGAAGTTGTTTTAGGAAACTCCTTTGACCCAAGTGCTAAATTGCCGGTGCACACAGCAACCAAAGTGAGCCCATTCCCCCTATCTTCTCGGCAGGCGTCACACTCCAGGGGCAGATCCAGGTTTTTGTTCAGGGAGGGGTGCTGCGCACAATGTTAACCCAGGGAGGGGTGCACCCCTTAGAATCAAAGGCAAAAAACAAAATTGGTTATCTTCGAGTTAGGAGCACAAAGTCTAACCAGGCGCACCCCCTGCACCCCTCCCCTGGATCCGCCCATGTACCCACCATCTGATCACTTTTTCACCCGGGTACAAGTTCCGTCCTCTCCCAAGTGTTTATTATACAACTGAGTTTATCTAAGAGCATATGCAGCATTTAAGTGAATTAATCGTTTTTCTTTTGCAGCTCAGCGAAGGGTTTACTTTCAAAGACGAGAAGTTAATTTGTCATGCCTGTCGTGGAATAAACCCATCGAAGGTTTGTGCACACTGTGGTGGGGATTTTGCTCCTGGAGAGAAAAAAGTTGGCTATCAAAATAAAACCTTTCATGATAGGTGTTTTATTTGTGATGAATGCAAAGAGCCAATTGGAAGCAAGCAGTTTATTCGTAGGGATGACAAGAGACTGTGCAACAATTGTTTTGATTCCAAATTTGCCAAGGTATGTAGATACTGAAGTTAGTGGTCTTATATTAGATTGAGCGTTGGCAAGGATGTTACTCATTTGCAACTAAATGCTGAATCCTTTTTGCTTTTGCTTAGGTATGTTTTAAATGCAAAGAAGTGATCAGAACATCTTCAGTGCAGCATTCAGGAAACGTTTATCATAGTGAGTGCTTTATTTGCTACCACTGCAATAATCCTCTGGCAGGGAAACCATTCACCAAACAAGAAGGAAATAACGTGTGTCAAGATTGCTACCGAGAACGCTACGCGAAAAGGTGCGCAGCTTGCGACAAACTCATAGAAGGAAACACCAAGTTTGTGGCCTATTCAGAAAAATACTTCCACCGTGATTGTTTCACTTGCTCCAAATGTGAGAAGCCCTTGGCAGGCGAAAAGTTCCGTATTCGAGATGAGCAAAAGGTTTGCCTCAGCTGCGACGAATAAGAAAAACAAGCCTGTATCATACTCTGGCTGCATGTTGTGACAAGAAACTCACTAATATGAACAAACAAAAACTTCTTAAATTTAGGAAAATCTGATGAAAGGAGACACAAAATACTTCATTGGTTCTCATTCCAAGTTATTTCCGTTGGTAAATTATTAAAGTTAAAAATCACATCTTTAAGATTTGGCACTTCTAATCCGCCCCTAGCTTCATAAGTTCCCGAAACTCTTCAAGTGTTACTGAACTCTTTCAAAAGAAAACTAGCTGAAGCGGCTATCGTAATTGCAACTTCAAATAATGATGAACAAATTTGAACTCAAAGGTGTTACGTTTTCAACATTGAATCTCAAATTTAGGAAGACGATAAATTTCTGTCTTTCAAAGAGCACACACATCGTTTGATCATTATTGAATAGTTTTATAGATATTAGTAATAAGTACTAATTAACAGACTGAGCCGCTAGCTCTGGTGTACAATGACTGAAACTTCAGTGCAACTTTACGCCCGCGGAATGTCAGTCTTGTCTTTTATTGGTCTGGAATATACCAGTCGTGGATGGACCTAGAATGAACACTAAGTAGTACCAGCATAAAACTCGGCTTAAAATGACTGGTTGGCTTCTCATAGTCGTAAATATGTATAAGTGTTAAATTACGGGAAGTATATTTTCCTGTTAGTATTAGTAAAATAAATTAATAGTAATGATATGTTTGAAAAATAATAATAATAAGAGAGTTATGAAATTTAAAAGTGATCTACTCTCGATGTTTAATTCAGTGAATTACTGAAAAATCATAACTGAGAAACCCTAAAGGTTTTAAATGAAAATTTGTAGCATCTACAAGAAAAGAACAGAAATAAAACCGATGGACGTCTGTATCTGATTATAAAGCGAGAATTGAAGAAACCGCTGAATAAGAAAAGGGTGTGACAACACCATTAATAGTGGATTGAATTAAATGCATTGTGTGCTTGATCTTGATCAAAGAACAGTTTTCGTATGACTATGAAAAAGTTGGTGCCGTATTCGTACCTTACCGCGACCGTCATGTTTTCTAGAATTTTCGGAAATTGTGGCGGATTTTCTCTCTCTCGCTCCATGTAATTGGTCTGGTAGTGCCGTGGCATTGGCGTGACCGTGCCTGCCCCGTGTTCATGCCGTGTTTTGGGCATTTTGACTGGAGAGTAAATTCTTCAGGGTTCGTGCTACTCCTTAAACTCCTTGAAAACTCCTTGAATTTAATTCACGTTTTCAAGGGCACTTGAAAAGCTCTTGAATTTTACGATTTTAGCAAAACTCCTTGAATTTTTGCTTTGATATTACTTGCATGGCTCTGAAATAGATCTAGTCAGAAAGATCGGAAAATCTGAAAGTCGACCATATGCAACCACCGTGTAAAACCTTGGCATAGTTAGCTGAACATACTCCTTGAACATATTTTTGGGTCCTYGTATACTCCTTGAATAATCCTTGAATTTTAAGTGGTTACCTGAGCACGAACCCTGATTCTTGTACAATGTGATTGGTCTTGCATATCAGGCTCGTGCCTTGAGCTTTTCACAGCCATATATACCGAAAACTGCTCTATGACTTTCCGAGTTCACGGTGCAAGCAGCGTTCAAATGTTTGCTATATATTTCGTTTTTGACTAACTAGTATGAATGCACTTAATATCTAATTAAAAAAAACACAAAATAAAATGAATGAGAAGTCGATTGTTAAAGTTCCCTCTTTTGAAGGAGACAGTAACCGAAAAAGGTTTTCAAAACCGTTTTGACTCTAAAGAAATAATCTCGCGCCAGGAGAGGCTTTGTGGGCTACATATCCTCCCCCCTCCCTCTGTACCTTGTTCCCCTAATATCTCCTAATTTTCATACTCAGTTCGGCCCACCCTTATAGCTGTCTTCCGGCTACATTTTCAATTGCTACCTCCCTCCCAATGGTGACGAATTCCTGGTAGTAGTCATTAAAATAGGCTAGCTGCCTGGAGAAAAAAACAACGTCGGGATTTATCGAAAAAGGAAGACTTAAAGCCACGAAAATGTAATAAAAGTAAAACGTCCCCAAATCTTTTAGAGTGATCCGCGGTCCAATTGATCCGGCTCCGTACGTCCTTTGTGTCACTATGTTAAAATAGGCTGTCTGGAGAAAAGTCAACGTCGGGATTTATTAACAAAATAGGAGGACTTATGAACTCAATTTAATCACGAAAATATAATAAAAGTAAACCGGAAGGACATGAATATATGCCGCGAATCCCCTTCAGGTTTTCCAACACCTCTACAGTGACTTGCCCAAACCCGCCCAGATGACTCAGTGAACTGACAGTCAGAATCAGCCAATCAGCAATCGGTGTATACTAGTATTTTGGCGCTCTCTTGTTCCGTCAGTTCAACACTCTTGGGCAATACAAGCAAAGATTATGAAGTGGGTTTTCTTTATCTTTTGGGGAATAAAGGACGATGTCAAGGATGGATAATAGCTGGAGGGTAAGTAAAGCTGAAGAGCTTTTTAAACTGAAAAAAGTTTACTATCATAGACTCGGCAAATAAATATTGTTTGCATTGTTTAGTGGTCGGCATGCACAGTGTATAAATGCTTCTATTGTTTTCTCGTTTTAAATAAGTCTTGCTTTCTTTGTTTCACATTAAATTTGAATGTATTATTTACCATTAGCTGTGTCCATGTTGTACGAAAGAGACTTTCTAAAGTGAATTTTAGATTGGAAAACCCTAAACATTTTAAAAGTCTGAAAATTAACTAACTTTACTCGGAATGTGAGTGAGCTAACTACAATAATAAGCAATTATTGGGTGAGGTTGAGCATGATATCGTGAATTATCAAGACCGAGGCAGTGTTATCTGCCGAAGCCGAAGGCTGAGGCAGATAACACAGCTTCGGTCTTGATATTTACGATATTATGCGATACCGAATTCAATAATTGCTTTATTATACATTTTGTATAACATTAACATGAACATTAAATTGTAGAGACAAGAATTATGAACGCCATGATGTAGCGTGAAAAACGCAAAAATTTTAATTCAAAAATATTTTTGGAANAAAATATTTTTGGAATTCTTCATAAAATATATGAAAATAAGTTAAGGATTCCTTAAATAATTGTTTTGTACATAATTCTGTAAATAAATACACATAATGAATAAAAACAAAGCTACCACAGCGTGAGCTTGAATGAACTTGACATGATAAATGTATTATCTGTAGGAAAACCTACAGATAATACATTTATCATGTCGAGTTCACACAATATCGGGGATTGGCTGAGGGCTCTCGACCAATCAGAATTGAGATACTTAGTAAAATGTATAATGTGTTCTACATATTTTTAGAATGCACTTCGATGTCCAAATGAATTAGAGTTAAGCCGTACACCAATTGAGAATTAACCAGGTTTATTTAAGCTTATACGTCGAGTTATAGAAAGGAAATGAATTATTCTTATGCCATGGGTATGATATGGGGATGCGTGTGTCGTTCAAGTGTGCACTTCCAAAATAAGGCTAAAAAGTTTCATGACAGGAATTTAAGATGCTTTCAAAAAATCTTAAATATGCTCAGATCTCACCCCCACTTAAAGACAATTTAAATTTTTTTCTGTGATCGGAGGTTGGATATTTTCTGGAAATACACAATACTGTACACACCAAAGATCAGCAAGTCCCCCTCTGACCCAACTGGCTGTTGGCTCAGTAGGGGGAAAAACCGTGCTGGAGGTCTTGACCGAGGGCACAGTTATTCCCTATCCGAACCGACTATAGGACAGTAAATAACTTTTTTTTTCCATATTTTTTTAACTTGTTTTTGTAATTGTTTTGCGAGCCTGGGCAGATACTGACAAAATACTGCCCGCTCAAACAGCCAATCAGAACGCAGGATTTTTTTAGGATTTTTATGACTATCGTTATGAAGAGGTATGGAATATAAAAGCAGCTTCCATGTTTTGTTTCGAACTGGACAAAGATTTTGCAGTTGAGTTATTCATTCAGTAATAAAACATGTTTATTTAGGAACTTATAGCAGCAATAATCATATTGATATATAGCAATATTACAGCTGAGAAAAACATACAACCATCTGGGAGCACATATATGTAGTCCATCCAGTATTTATAAATACCATTTTTTGAAATTTTATATTAATTTTCTGATAAAAAAAAAACATTGACAAATGCAAAATAATATAGTTGCTTCACTGCATCTAGTTCACTACCAAGTAATCAGCAATTGGGCTGCTAACATTATTACATAATTTGCTTTATTATTCACTCATTATGTTCTAAAATCTTTTTGTCTCTAGTAAGAACTATAACTGTAATTAGATTTACTGATTTATTTACTGTTATAAGACAACATTTATCTATAAAAGTTATTGTACCCTACAGTTCTTATTTTTACTTTGCTTTTTTGAGGAGCCAGTGTTTTTATTGGTTGCAAGTTTAGATTTGTCATCATAACATTCCACATAAGCAATCCGAGGTCTTCTGATTGGCCTAACTTGTTGGCTCTTTTCAACTGGATTTGCGAATGGATCCTCCCAGGGTAACTCTAATGGCTTCTTAACAGTCTCCTTTAGTCGCGAGTCTTTAGAATTCTGACTTGATGACCTTGCTCGTAACTGACCCGAAGACCTAGAATGTGATGAACTCTTTGAATTATTTACCCTGCCTGCAGCGCTACGTGTGCCAGATGCAGTTAGTCTGTGATTCCTCATGAAGGATTGTTCAGGGATGGTCCTTATTGGCAAGCATTCAAGAGACCTTGATATAGGTCTCTGTAATAACTCATTCTTGTGTGAAAAACCTCTACTCAAATAACCATATTCTCCTTCTTCATCTGACATGACAAAATAATGCTTATGTTTTTGTCTTTCCTTACTTAAATTTGGTTCTTTTCTAGATTTAAGAACATGTTTCTTCTCATCATTAACCTTCAAATTTGATGAACTTCCACTAGATTGCCTTTGAAGCTCATCAATTGCCGAAGAAGATTCAGTTCCATAATTACTATCTCTACTTTCAATTGTTCCATAATTGCTATCATGGCCGTCCACATCCTCGACAGGTGTAGCTTTAACAAATTCATGATTGTCTGTTTCAGGATAATTGTATGCTATCACTTTGTATGGTTTAACCATATCATTTTCATTCACATGTGATCCATTCTCAGATGATGCAACTCCAGAACTCCTTCCTTCATCATGCTTGATATAAAACTGTTCACAGTCTCCACCTTGCACACTTACACTATCAAACATATCCTTTCCATAAGGAGTCTCGATGACACCAAACATCGTTCCTGACAAAGAATCCTTTTGGTTTGAAGATATAATACTCTTTTGCTTCGGTGAAGTAAAAGGGCTATTTTCATGATGGATGAAAGCCGAAGCAGCATTACCTTCTTCCAAGTGTTTTTTATATCTCCTTAAAGCAGCTTCAGCATTAGATCCATGATTATCATCATGCTCTGATTCAAGAGTTTCAAGATCTGATGTATAAGACTCTGGGATAGAACATTGTTTTTGTTGTCTTTGTTGTGATCTTGGTGTATGATCCGAAAGTTCTGTGCAACCAACAGGATGTATTCCATGACCACATTCAGGGGAACAGTATATTTCTCCATTCTTTGGTAAAAATGGAGCCCCAAGAAGGGACTTGCCACAGGTGTAACAGCTAAAACATTGTGGGTTAGCATGCCAATGTTGTCCATTGTGAGCCATTTGACTAACGTCAGGCTCAATCGGCTCCCCACAAGAGTCACAGAACTCAGCGTAAAGGCTTTCAAAACAATTACAACAGAATGGACGGTCATCTCTCATCACATAACGCATTCCACCAAGAGGACTGTCACATTCAAAACAACAAAAGTGCTTAACATGCCAACATYTATCTTCTGCTTCTGTACACTGTTCAGCAAAGATTATCTGCGTGAAAATAAATAAATGTTAGTTTGCTTAAGTAGTTCAATCACATTGCTTCCTCATTGCTCTTCAAGCCAAAAGGCTTTTTAAGTCCTTATGACAATAGAAAATTCTTGGACTGATATTTTTACTCTCTAATGCACAAGAACTTAACAAAGTGATGAGTCTGATAGCCAAAGGACAGGTACATTTTTGTCTTTGCCCAATACAGTAACTTTAATCTATGATTTGTGCAGTTTGTTTGTCGTCTTGTTCAAGATAGGTCTAAGGTAAATGCAGGTACCAAAGGTTTGCTTCAATTTTGTGTAGGATATTTAGAAATTAGTTCTCAAGCCTGAATGGGCTATTGACTAATAGGCCATGAGGGCAAGAGGACTATTTGTTCTAGTCAAATCCATCTACAGTCAAATATATCTATAGATGTAAACAAGTTTTGAATTAAAGTTAAATCTAATTTTTTGGTTTTCAAAGCTGGCACTTTTCACTTTTTTCTATAACTTATAGCCTACTAGTAGCTCATATAATCAGAATGCAGCATTGATGATAGACCGCTAGTTGGATTTGACTAAAGTAGTTTAGTGTGAGATATAAATTATTATGAACTAACCTCATCACAAGCAGCACATCGAGGTTTGAGTGATTCTGCATGATGTCTTCCACAATACACCTTGGAATCCTTGTAGAAGTAGATGAGGTCCACCAGCAATTCCTTACATACAGTACAAATAAAACATGCAGAATGCCAACTGGTGTGCTGCCCTGCTCTTGCCGCAAACACTGACATTGATCCTGCTCCAATATGCTCTCCACACTATTAGAGATTATCAAAACAATATTAGATAAAATCTCAATTATTGGAATTGGAATTTGAAAAGTAATGTATGCAAGGAAAAGTATCTTAGGTTGATAGTGCCTTGACCATGAGGTACTCTTACAAGGGTTGACAGTGCACCTTTACTACTTTCTCCATTAGTGGTCTATAAAGTTATTCAAGTTACACCAATAGAGGCTTTACACCATGACGTTGATGGCAGCCATGACACTAGGCAGGATAAAGGGAATCTGGCCTAATCTGATTTACATGAGTAATAATTCCAATTTCATCTATCAGTAGGCTTATCAAGTGGGTTGCAAAACCTGTTTGGCTTTACATCCACCATGTAGTGGTAAATCCTTTTTTTTAAGACTTAGAATTCAGTTTCCCAGGTAAAAATACTCTATTTTTGTGCCTCCAGTCATGACTGCCATAATGTGATGGTGCAAAGCCTCTATATCAAGAAAGTCAAAACTAGTACAAACTGTGGATAACTTGCTTTACTCTCAAAGTGCCTTTGCAAAACTAACTTCTACAGCCATAAACCATAGTTGCAGGTCAGTGCTAAATTTGACTTGCTAAATTGACTTGATGTTATCATGTACATTATAAGGTATTGTACAGGGCTTAAAACAACAGCCAGTCATCAGACAATATCTGGCCAGAATTGGAACTTGTAGGGTCAAATCTTTGCCTTGTCCGTCATTTTGGCCGGTAAGGTTGAGCCAGAAATGAGGTATATGACTGAGCTAAAACTAATGTGACCAGTCTTTTTTTTTATTGTTGTTTTTTGTTGTTGTTGACATGGCCAGTCATCAATGAATGATGATCGTCGACTGACTGGCCGTTATTTTCAACCTGTTGCAGCAATTCAATCTAAACATTGAATCACTGTTTTGTGCCCATACAAAAGCAAATTCCAAAAAAATTTAATATAATCAGAGAAAGTACTTAATACTTAGGAGCATAGCTATAGGCAGTGTTAAAAAGAAGAGTTTCATAAATCAAAAATACTTGCCTCCTTGCAAGGATATCCTTCTGACATCTCAGGAATTTGTTTCACAACTCCTCGTCCAAGGGAATCACGTTTTCTCAATGCTACAAAAAAGCGCAACTCTCTCTTTTCTTCTTCACTGAGCTCACTACAGAACCTTGATTCATTATCATGTGGTGGAAGCTGCAGAATAATCTGCCTGTTGCGATATCTCTCCCCAACACTATCAACATATGGAATCTTTTCCTCTGTAAGAGAATTCATGTATAGGTGTACCTAGAATGAGACATTATATTAGCTCTGGCAGAACATTAACTCATTTATCTTACTATGAGTGATAATACAATAGCTGTACATACATATAAGACTGTTGTTAAAATGTATAAGTCAAGTATGTCAGCTATTTTTTATTTTAAAAACCCACCTCAGACTTTGTCATAGTGAATTTATAAATAAGGATACCTGTTAGTGTCCAGATTTAATATTATCAGAATCGGACTTTTTGAAATGTCGACCACATCCCTTTGTTCAGTGAAAATGTTGGGTCAGGCCTTAGAAGTAGGTTATGGTAATATATTTTCCATGTACCGTATTCTTTAGTTAGGTTGAGGTTATGGTAACACTTGACTATGAAGATATTTTGAGCATTATTATATTTCAAATAAAACAATGGTGTCAATCAATCTCAATCATTCAGAAAATACAAAACACCTTATGATGGACAAAAAATTACCTCGAACTTAGACATTCATTATTTAAAATCAAGGATACAAAGGAATTGTGTTATTTTAAGTGGAAAATATTATTGATTAGTCCAGAGACACTAACTTGTGATTCAAAAATCATAAACTTAGTTTTTCAAAGGCAAGGTGATATGGGTGTTTGTTTAACACTACCATGCCTTTTAAGGAAAAGAGTGAAGGATAATTATTATACAACTATTTTACATTCACCAGAGAACCTGACAAATATCTTGAACATAAAAAAAGTAATATCTTCAAAAAAAATGACTTAGGTTTCTTTGAAGGCCAGACAAGAGTGGTCCCTAGCAAAATAATATTTTTCCATGATAAGAATGTTAAAAATTATTTGGAATTTCAAACATTTAAAATTTGATGCAGGATATAGAGAGGATCTATGTCATTACGGATGGGTCATGTACAATTTCAATCAGTGTAACTATTCAGCCACTTGACATCCCACTTATTGTTTTTGCTAACATTGCACTTAAGTCTATTCCTTCTGATCAGTATAGTTTTATCTTCTTCTAGAGTTTTAACAAATTAGCAGTTCTATTTTATTGCCAAAAACCCAGAAATCCAGAAATCAAAAATCATTGCTAAATTACACAGAAACAGCTTTTTACTCAAAAATTTGAATTATACAATTCAGTGTACATGTAATGATTCAAATGTTCTTTTTTTAAGCCAGCAAAGAACTTGATGGATTAAGATACATATTCCAAAATTGCGGTCAGGATTCATGATTAGTTTTGATTTAAAGTTTTCTCTGACTTGTGAAATTTACAATTTTTAAACAGAAGTTTCGGTCTAAACCAAAACCTTTATCATTGTCAAATTGGTACGTATATTAAATTTTTAATTATAATTCAATGTTACAGCCCTAAAGTAATAAAAAGATTAAAGTACACTAGAATATCTGAGTACATTATGTAAGTAGACATTAACATAACCTTAAAAATATTGAAGCATAAAGCTGCATTTTGACTATATGTAACTAGAAGAGGGTTTACCTGTTCAGGGGTAAGTCCTGGTGGTACCCATGTATATTCATCCAGAGCACATCCACTATCATCATCACTTGCTAAGCTTGAAGCACGGTGAACATCTGCCATGTATATACTACGATCAGCTCTAACATCATCACCCATGATGTTATGGTCCTCACGAGGGCATTTACAATTACGGCAGATTTTCCTACAATTAAAATAATATTAGTAACCAATTAACATTAAAAATATATCTTCATCGAGTTTTTTTTTTTGAGTGAAAAATCATTGCTTAAAATATTCTTTTGAAAAGCTTGCAAGCAGCTGGCATGCATTGAATATACATTTAGTCATACTCTCTGACCAGTCATACATAGCAAGACTAAACTATTTCATACATAACCTATGGGTCAATAAGTTAGAAAAACTGTTACTGCCGAGAGATATCTATGACTACAGTACCTGAGAGGATTTGAAGTGAGTGTCTCTTGCATAATTTCATAGATATGAGGGTGTGATAGTGAAGCTAGATCTTATATATATATATATATATATATGATTATCAAGACATGCCCAGGCTTGCCATGGGAAGCCCCATATTATTAGAGAGTCCTTGACAGATTAGTCCTCTTATCTAGAACAACATCAGCTCCCTGATTGATTATCAGGAGATTGCCAGGTCTATATAAAATCTACTCTTCAACAGCACATGTACTTGGTATAACTGGCATTCACTCCTTGATAAAGACATATATGGAATGGATATAGAAAATGATTATTTACACAAAAGAAACATAGGTTAACAAGGACAGATGTTTTACAAATTATACAATTGTTCTACTAGCAGGAGGCCCTAATATATTGAAATTGTTAGTCATGAATTTTTGTACTTTTTCCTTTTTTCTTTCAGAAAATATCATTTACAGTTTGAATAAATTGATCTGGAAAATATCAAGGTGAGTATTATGGTGTTCCAAACTAATATTTAAAAAAATTAAAGTAAAAAGCTAAAATATTAGTTTAGGTAGCTATAGGAGAAGAATGATTAAAATATACCCTACTGTTTCGTCATAAAATAGCAGCATGTTTTAGATTCATCATTTTCGTATGAAATTACTTGCGAAACCCTTGGTACTAGGTATAATCGATTTAAATCAAAAAATGTAAATATTCTGACCTACAAAGATAATCCTAAAATCTTGAAAGTCCTAAATAGATCTACGATTAACTTTATTGATAAACTATATGATCAATGTAATTGAAGGGGGTGTCATGTGAGGAAATAAATAATTATTTTTTACTATTGTCTCAACAAACCAAGAAAGTATAAACCTTGAGAGCTGTGAAAGCAGTGCAGTATTTGAAGAAATTATACCAAAAGATAAATTTAAATGACCAAAAGAAAAATATTGAAGGATATGAAATTTCAAATCCTATAAAACAATCAATAAAAACTAACAATGAGGTTCCCCTGTTGAGTTCGTAAGCTCTGTTTGACCATAACACAATAAGGGACTAATACTTCAATATAAACAATGTCTCTGGCATGATCATTTCCATAGAGATAAGAAATCAAGTATGGTCATGCTACGTCTTCAATGTTATGTGAATTGAGGGAGATGGAAAACCAGATTTGATTTCTAGAAGGTTAAGGAACAATGAAAAGGTCTTGTGGAATTGATTATGGTGCCTAATTGTCTGGGAGGAGAGAATCATGCACACAACACACACAAATGTCATGCTGTGAAAAATGAATAAACCTGAATTAGGAGCAAATTGCTTGTGGGCTCTGGAATCAATTGAAAGCCTTCAGTATTGCTTCAGGCCTCTGGGAAGGAATTTTTCAGCAGAAAAATATCTTATTTCTAACAGCAAGAAACTAGGACGAATTAATTCTTATCTTTAAATACAATAGACTACTTGAAATTAATCACTTTTTCTTTCTAAGTTTCATAATTTCCCTAATCTTATACTTGGGGAAACAGATCCCATAAATAACCCTCATAATCTCCATATCTCATGCTTAAGAGGAACAGCTAAATATCATACATTTTACTCTTAACCTTAAGAACTTTTTTGATGGATCTTTTGATTGTTGTTGAAGTCGCTATCTTTTCTCTCTCTCTCTCTCTCTCTTTCTTTAGGTCCAATACTATGTTCTTGAACATTAATTTATATCTTTAGGAAAAAAGTTGTTCTTGTCATACATATTGTCAAAATAATGATGGATGCACATAGATTTAAAAATCAACATTTTTCTCTTTTCTCCCATTTCTTTGCCACTCCAGTTCTCATTCGTTTCTCTCTCTCTCTCTTTCTGTCTCTAGGTCCAATACTATGTTCTTGAACATTAATTTATATCTTTAGGCAGAAAGTTGTTCTTGTAATATATATTGTCAAACAAATGATGGATGCACATAGATTTAAAAATCAACATTTTTCTCTTTTCTCCCATTTCTTTGCGACTCCAGTTCTCATTCTTTCATATTTCATTCATTTTTTTTTTCATTTTCTTGAGACCACACATAGTCTTATCAAAAGGAAAAGGTGTTTTTATAGTTTCGATAAATGATGTTGCACGAGCTGGCGTGTAAATGGAGCGTAACGAACAGATGCGATTAGATAACAACTAAATGTTCAGCACTTAAAAACAATCACATATCAATAATAGCTAATCTCTGCGCTTTTTCCCGTGAACAAATCCAAATTACAACAACAAGAGCACTATAAATGGCGCAAAGGTCGTTTTATTCCAACCATTTTTAGTACACTGCCCGGTATTTCCGCTATTTCCTCTAAGGTCACTTTACTGGGATAAGTGCAAAAACAGCTATTTTTGTGTTCTCGCAAACAGAAAATTCGTGCGAGAACTGCTAACGTGACAGTTTGTGAAAACAAACGTTGTTCAACAATTCACATCAAGTAGGTCAACATTCCCGAAATCCTACCACGAAAAACAGCGTGTGTTGAATATAACACCACACATTCAAAAATCAACTTCCGCCTATATTCCAACGCCGGCAAACGTGCCGCATTGGAAATGATTCCACGCGTTTCTAAGAGATATGCGGTTGGTATAAATATAAATTCAGAAATTTGGTCGGATCTTCAAAGGAACTTGAAAATCGATACCCGAATAGGGACCCTTTGATTAAAACCACCAACAAAATAGACCAGGCTTACGTCATAGCCGTCTAAAGCGTCTGGGGTAACGGAATAAGAAGTTGATCAATAAAAACAGGAAACCTTGTCTTTGCTCAGAAAACAAATTGAAGTATATTTCTGTGTAAAAACGATTTGTTGAAAATCAACAGAAGGACATCTGATCGCGCAGAAATGGGTCAAAAAGTCTGATTTTYCCCCTAAAGTTTTGGCGTGAATTAACAACATAATGAAGTGAGTGATTGGTCAGTGCTAATGAGCCGACTGTATCTTGAGGTTTTATTCTTTTCACAGTAGCTGCATATGAGTGGTTCATCTCATGGCTTCTTCACCGCAGAGGAAAACCGCAGAATGGTTGCCTTAGGACACATGTTGATTGAATCACACGCTGGAATCAATCGTTCAAATGAACATCATGGTTTATACGGATCGAAGTCAGGCTAAAATCTCTTTTCTTTTAATCACCAAACACTCAATCGACGCCTTTAGGACAGGAAGATAAAGCGTCCATAGCTTCCGGATGAGAAGAGCCGAGAGCGCGACAAAATCGTTAAGTTCAGATTACCAATCATTAGAAGGAATATTCTTATTAAAGTACCGTGTCAAAGAGGTTATGTGTGGATATTAAATAACTACAGTGCTCACACATACTAAAACTGCACTGATATCTCTAAGCCTCTCTCTATGACAGCAGAAGGCATTTCCATCACCCTCAACCCACACTCTGAGCATCACAGTAGAATGAGCACATTCCAGGATATTAGAATGGCCGTGTGTTGTGGTCAGATAGATTCAAGGACCTCCATTAGCCACCGTGTTCCACCTTATAAACGTCAGACGCTATAGACTTAATGGCTCCAGAGGCAGCCCTTGTAAAGGCGTACGCAATGAATATACGTTCTAATTATATGTGTAAAAGTATCTGATACGTCTTAGCTTTATCAAACCGAACCTTTCGATCTGTAGTCTCCTTTGAAGATAAGCACTCAAATATGTCACCCAAGAGACGCAGTTCACTTACTCGATTTATACTAAACAAACAACTACAGAAATCGTACCTATCGATAATTAAAATCAAAGATGAAAAGCAGTCAAAGTTTTGGGACGAATGTGAAGAATCTCGACAACTTTCAAAAGGATCCCAAACTCGAATTTTCATCAGCGATTTCAAAAGTAAACATACAAAACCAATAAAGAAAGATATAACAACGGAACAAACGTAACTGAAGACTATGTTATAGTTTTTGAAAGTTCTATCTAATAAGGCACTAAGATCAGAAACATTGTAAAGAAAAATGCCAGTATATACATTTCTTTCGGGGTAAAAGCTTAAAGGGTCATCGCAGATGCCTATCCGTCTTATCTAGGTAGGTAGAGTGATGGATTAAGAATGTACCGAATGGCGAAACTCCAACATCAATGGAGCATCTATATAAATTCTTATACTCTGTTGTAGACCACAACTTTCGTTATAAGCAATCGCGAACTTGATACGGCTATTAGCGGGTGCTAAATAATGGCTCTTGCATATGCTACGACATGTTACAAAGATATTGAAGGTTTCCACACGTTTCGAGAGGCATTCACAATGCTTTATTATGAGCTGTGTCACTCGAAACCTGTTGATCTTCACCACGTTGCCTTACCTCCAGTAATGAGCACTGAATCCAGGACAAGTATCTCCACAGTTGTTGCACGCTTTTGTTGTATCGTCGTCATCGTGAGCGACCATGTCCTGAAAATGAAACGAACGAACATCAGCTACCAGAGCCTTTGATCAGTGATAAGACCAACTAGCACTCGACGATCACGATTGGGACGGCTTCGCCAGTCATCTTACCCGAGGGATTTCACCTCTCTTCATTGTCGAAATACCAACTCACGAACCAACCAAACAAGCAAGTTTTCCCTTTATGAGTTATGTGAGTTGAAAGAACACTTGGGCCGTGACATGGAGAATCAACAGTTTGTAAAACCCTTCGACAAGAACTAACCATTTGCAAACGTGCAATTATGGTTGATCAACTGTAAAATCAATACAAACTATTCTCCCAAGTGATTGACGTCTCTTGACGTTAATTAATGCATAGGCCAATCAAAACAGCCCTCTCGCATTCTTGACTGTCAGCACAATATCACTAGTGGTCAAATCCCTCGGCACGTTTTCTTCCAACATCCGTCGGACATTTTGAAGAGAAAGCCGCCCAATCCGCCAGAGCGAAGCACTTCGACAAGGAAATTCTTGTGGGGAGATTTATAGATGAAATTTCGAACGAACTCTTTGAAGGCAGTCAAGCGAGCAACGGATTGACATTCTTTTGCATCTAGACAAAAGCAAACAGTGGTCGTACTACACAATCGATAGCTTCAAGCTGTAATTTCTTTTTATTTATTCTTTATTGCTTTTGTTTGGTTAAAATCTCATAAATCAAAGCAAGCAACTAATTTCTACTTGAAAAAAGTAACGAAAAGTCACAAATTTGTCACCATCATAAGAAGCCAAGGTGTCTAATAGTCCAAGACTTGGGCACTTTTTGGTTGCTATGGCCTTCACCCTTGACAACAAAATTTAATGCATTTCACAAAAATTCATCAAATTGAGGCGATCAAACAAGTAAATCCACCTTCATAAGTTTATAACTGACAGTAAGATTAAGATCAGACTATAGTAAGAATAATAAAGCCCTGAGGTTACAAAAAAATAGAATGCTAAAGATTTGATTTGTGTCAGTCTTCAAGCATATTTTTCTGCAGCTCRGATTTTTTTCCGAGAAAAAGTATGCTTGAAAAAATACAAATCAAATCTTTAATGACTATCCACAAGCAGCAAGAAAACCCTAAATAAATAAAGTGCTATAACATGATCAAAACACGAAAAGCAAAAAGTTTTCTGTCAGTAAATTTGAGCACAGTTTGAAATACTTGAGCTTGTGGGATATGTGCTGTAGTTTAGGGATAAAAATGATCAATTTGCCTTCCCTTTCGTGTTGGGGGTCAGTGCTTGGTCCTCTATCGGGTGAGGCATTCGGTCTCTAAAAAGCTGCACGTTAAACTCTGTAAAAAGAGTTAGATTATCATCGGATGTATGGAATAATTTGTCGAACATCTATAAATTACCGTTGTTACACCTCTCTAATCATAAACAATTTTCTTACAAATATATTAATTATTACTGATCAAAACTAGTCTTCTATGCTTTGTATAATATTGCGCGCACATATTTTAAGCAATTCATCGAACAAAATAACCAATAACTTGAAGAATAATTTCGTATTCAATCATTTCTTTAAGTTTTTGATATTTCATTAGAGCGTCTAAAAAGCGACCTGCCGTTAATTAGTGTGCCAAAACGCAATCAATGCCGGCCGCCTCGACTTGATTTTTCCACACGACACGTTTCGGGTACTTGTCACTGATTACTGGAATTAATATCTAATATTCTAATAAAAAATAATGAATATTTACCCGGAATAGGTAGGCCAGTGTTTGTGCAGATTGGAGAGAGGATATGTCCATTAGAGTATGGTTTTGACCGCGTTGGTAGAGAAGGTTCCGTTAAGGTACTATTTGTGTCCTTGCATGTGTCTCAGTTGTTTGTGATTATGAAATGATGAAGGCTCACTCAAATGATTCAATACAAACAATCCTGCCTGCTATTAACGTCCCTTATTCTGTGATACATTGTCCCTGGCTCTAGTGCTATTAGTTTGTTCCAGATAAGATCTCTCGTCATTTTGCCTCTGGCTGCACAATGTACTAATAACAACCTTCTTAAGTGGTCTTCAGTAGGCTGAAAATAACCCGTAGGGCTGTCTTTCTATTGGTGTGTTATTTAAATACGACATCAGTTGATAAACAATATATAAACAACTGCCGGGCTGAATGCGGGCTTCAGCAAGTGATGATCACACTCGGGTCATACATGCTATGCTACTATTATACCATTAGGCATTCAAAAACCGTCTCGTCTCGTGTAATGGAATTGTCTATGAAATCCTTCAATCCATTTTTATACTTAATTAAGCAAATCATTGTTTGTGTGTTTTTTCGCCTTTCAAAACCAAGGCTTTAATAAAATAAGTGACTTCCCATGACACGCAAGACGGCAACCAAGGCACGACCGACCCCTACTGCGTCACATCTCACGCAATTTTCCCAGAACTCAGTTACAGCATTTTTTCCCTTTACTGTAAATTTTTACTTGCATGTAAAAATGTAATATTGACTTATAATACACTTCAAGTTTTTTTTCATTTAAAAAAAATTGAATACTGTATATCATCCCTTGAGGCAATCGATTGGAAATCAGATTTATTTTGATCACTCGGATTTGAACTCAATCGGCTTCATCTTAGAGGGTTTGAAACAGTAGAAAGTTCAAGAAATAATAACTTGAAAAGAAACTCGAAGTGTTCACGGTTCGAATGTGCTTGCTGTAACGCAGTTTTCAAAGCCATGAAATATCCTAAAAACTGAAAGAACTCTAAATATTTGCGAAAAAACCAAGTCTCATGCATAGCATGACATTTACATGCAATGGCAAGTCTGATCATTACAATCTCACCTCAACGAGTCCTTAATTAGCATGATGTAAAATTACAAATCAGTCAATGGAAATCCTATGGTAAGAAAGGCTAGTCCCACACTTGTAGTGACCATAAGACTCATGCAGGTCATTTGACCATTAAGATTATACTATAAAGTACTATATTTCATAGTTGAGGCAGTAAGCCGTGTGGGATGGGCTCGGAAAACATATAAAAACATGCGTAATAGGTAAATTACGAGCCTTGTGTGAAACGACTGAATATATAACAGGAATACAGAAGCCACATGGTCACGGGGCATTCAACCGCCACTTATCTTTCCTTCCTTGTTCAATTTAACTGGCCTTAGTTCAGTATTAGGAACGACTTTAATTTAGCAGATCATTAAAGACTCATTGTAGACACACTTTTCGTGATAATTATATTTTTCCTCAGTTACGTACTTCGTTGTCATGGTGAGTCAAGTCATCCGAACAGTGAGTACAATTTTGTAAAATATCCGTCATAAAATCGTGAGAAAAAACATCGACCTGCAGATTTTTCATTAGATAGTATTCTTTATGAAATGGAAAACTAATTTTGTATATCACCATGGGTTATAAACTTGTATTAGAGTACCAACTTTGCATGAATTTTACTCATTCAGTCATTAATGAATTGGGGGAGATTTCCGCGTTTATTTGTCTTGTTTGGCACTTTAGGCTTAAAATCTAAATTTAATATATATTTTTTCTAGAATCGTGAGAACTTAGATTACCGCATGTAAAGTGCAGTCTTAATGTCTAGGCTGCTCATTATTCGCCCCAGGACGTCCAGGTGGAACTGGTTTGTACTGATCACGTGACGTATAGGTCATCGGGCATTTGAATGGCTTCCATAGAAAATAACCAGATAAGTACGACAAAATTAATTACTTGTCTACCCAGAAATAACTATCTTTGAAGAAAATATGGCGATTAAATCAAAATTAATATGTTTTTAAAAGTTCTACTTGACCGAGCAGTGACGCGGGAGGAACGAGGTCGACTCTAGGGTCAGTTGGCTACAGAGTTACAGGTGCCACCAGGCGAGTAATTTTCGTGGAAAAAAACCAATTAAACGTCACTCGTTATTACTTTATGCTACATTCCTCTAACGTTCCTCAAATGGGTTCCCCGCAGGAGCTTCCGCGCAACGATTATTTTAAATTGCGAAACATTTCTAATATTATGACGATCCTTGGCCTCTCATACACCACAGTAACTCAAAGGGAAATGATTTTGCCGGTGTTTTTCTCTCGTTCTTCCGATAATTTTCAAAACACCGGTAGATTACGACATGTTGTTTCCGCGGCCAATATGACGTTCGACAACCTTTCCTCATGCAAGTGACTCTACGCATGCGTAATCCAAATCGCCCCATATCTAATTGTTCCTAAAACCAATATCTGCCGTTAGGAACCAATTGAACACTAAATACTTATTAGAGATATTACTTTTTAACTGAGCTAGTCGTCACAAGGCTAAGTGATTTAACGAATTAACGAACGCTGATGAGAGTCGTTCTTTATCTCAGTATTGACGGTATATTGGTGTATTTAATGAAATATTGCTCAGGCCTCATTCATGAATATGGATCTTGGGACTCTTGTTAAGTAGCATTAAATGTTGCCTCTACGGGCCAGAATTAAAATTGGAATGTAAACAAAAATAATTCCGTTGCTTGCCTCGACTGTATAAACACTAGGCGATCGTCAATGACATATATATAGGAAAATCTAGTTTTGAAATTTGGTTGAGAATCAGAATCCAAAGAAATTGAAAATCAATCAAATATGCTGAATATTTAGAAGGAATGTAAAATGAAGGAATAAGGAAAAATATGGGCCGGACGCCCTTGATTGTTGAAGGAGACGTCTCGCCCAGCTTTGTCACGTGACAGGAGCATAGTTCCTGAATACTATACGAAATAAAATAAAGAATTGAAAAGTACTATAGAAAGAGCCAGTGGTTGTTAAGTCCTTTTCAATAGAATCTACTCATTATTAATACATATTTTAATATTAAAACAGTTCCGTAGTTTGGTTTAGTTTCAAATAAAAGACCGTTTCCCTTGGTTATATATTCACTCCAGAATATTTTGTAGTTCCCACGATCAAAGGTTTACGGTCGAGAGTAAGATAATTTGATTTTATAGCTCTGTCAACGCGTTCTCTGCAGACTTTCCCGCCAAATTAATGCATATTGTGCGTACTTCCTCATCATAACCGGCTGGATATCAAAATGTGGTCTTCAATTCAATGTGATAATTTATTGCCAGCTTTGCTAACTGTTTGACAATAAAACAAAAATATATTCATTCCTTTACTTTAGCATATCATTTTAAGGACCAGCAAAATAAGTTGCTTTTGAAAAGTAAATATAATAAAAAAGATTTTTTTTCTCGCATCCTCGAATCGAGGGTATTGTTTACCTTCTCAGTTTATGTTTACTTATAGCCTTCTTCTTGGTCTATCTCATCAAACTACTAAATTACTGTTTATACTTATCAAGAAACAGTTTTAGAATGAATTCTCTTACCTTGCTATTTTTTCTAGGTGTAAGAGAGCCTTGTTCCATCGCGAAACCAACCTTTTACAATTCAGTTACCCATCAGCTTTAGTATATTGGCCCGTCAGTTTCTTTCAATCCAATTTTATTCAATTTCCTTTGAAATTCCGGTCTCAGAAGTCAAATATTTCACCTTCCAATACTTCCATCACCGCAGTAACTTTATTCTATTTCAAATTGACGAGAAAAAAATCAGAGCTTTTACTACCTAATTCATTGAAAGGTTTTAGGTCTTCTCGTATCATAGTTTTGTTTAGAGAATGCCATTCAAATTAATAAGTCAAGTTCGTAGATTTAGCCGCTTTCTTAAGATTCTTTGGTTCACGCTGTCTATCATCAGCTTACCTTTGCCACGGTTTTTCCTAGTAACATCAAAGTCTAAATCTTCCCCATTATTCTCTTTACACAAAGTACTACACGGAGGAGATCTGTCAGTGAGTTCATCAGATTTCAAAGGCTTGACTCGAGCCTAAGAAAGTAAAGGGTCTTGCCATAAACTAAGTGAATCTGGATGAAGTTGTTGATTCAAGAGAGTACAT